GGTGCTGCTGTCGTGCTGCTGCAATCAAACAGCTTCCAAAGCAAGAAACAACTGCTGCTGCTGCTGCTGCTTCTGCTGCTGCTGCTGCTGCTGCCTTTTGCGTGCTCTTGCCCATAAGCCCCAAAATTGCACCCCGAAAATGCCTAACGTAACTTCTGAAACCCATAGAACATGATGATTTTGGCTACTTTTTCCTCCTGCTGCTGCTGCGGCTCCTGCTCCTAAACTTGTCTGAAATCCTAGAAAAAGCTAGATTTTTGGTAGGCTGCTGGCTACTGGCTGTTGGCTGCTACTGGCGCTGGCTGCTAGCTACTGGCTATGTGCACCTTTTGCGTGCTCTTGCCCATGTTCTTGACACCCATTGGTGCTATATAAACGAGAAAACTGCCAAACGTCACGTTTGAAACCTTATAGAAATATATACAAGATATATAGAAGTGCCTAACGTGTCGTCTGACACCCTAGAAAAACACAATTTTTCGATAGATTCTGTTGCTGGCGGCTGCTAGCAGTAAAACAGGTTCGAAAAAATCACCTGCCGGGGGGGAAAACACCAGGGCTCTGAAGGACGAGCGAGTGCCAGAACCACGCCAAAAAAGTGCCTAACGTGTCGTCTGAAATCCTAGAAAAATCTAGATTTTTGGTAGGCTGCTGGCTACTGGCTGCTGGCTGCTACTGGCGCTGGCTGCTAGCTACTGGCTATGTGCACCTTTTGCGTGCTCTTGCCCACGTTCTTGACACCCATTGGTGCAAATTCCAATCCACTTTTGATTGCTGCTGCTGCTGCTGCTGCTGCTTGTGGCTAGCTGCGACGGCTAAAAGTAAACCACTCCCATTCCTTATCCTGCTAGAAATCGCATCCAATCCAATCCATCCAACGGTGACTGCTGCTGCCAGCTCCCATGCCCTCAAAACAGCTCCACAACGAAGTCAAATGCTGTCCCGAGGCTTGACGTCCCTTCCGAAATCCTAGAGAAAACAGGTTCGAAAAAATCACCTGCCGGGGGGGAAAACACCAGGGCTCTGAAGGACGAGCGAGTGCCAGAACCACGCCAAAAAAGTGCCTAACGTGTCGTCTGAAATCCTAGAAAAATCTAGATTTTTGGTAGGCTGCTGGCTACTGGCTGCTGGCTGCTACTGGCGCTGGCTGCTAGCTACTGGCTATGTGCACCTTTTGCGTGCTCTTGCCCACGTTCTTGACACCCATTGGTGCCATCCTAGAAAAACACAATTTTTCGTGCTGCTAGCTGCTGCACTGCTGCCGTTGCGCTTACTGCTGCTGCGTCTGCTTGGAAAAACACAATTTTTCGATAGATTCTGTTGCTGGCGGCTGCTAGCAGTAAAACAGGTTCGAAAAAATCACCTGCCGGGGGGGAAAACACCAGGGCTCTGAAGGACGAGCGAGTGCCAGAACCACGCCAAAAAAGTGCCTAACGTGTCGTCTGATATCCTAGAAAAATTTAGATTTTTGGTAGGCTGCTGGCTACTGGCTGCTGGCTGCTACTGGCGCTGGCTGCTAGCTACTGGCTATGTGCACCTTTTGCGTGCTCTTGCCCACGTTCTTGACACCCATTGGTGCCATCCTAGAAGAACACAATTTTTCGTGCTGCTAGCTGCTGCACTGCTGCCGTTGCGCTTACTGCTGCTGCGTCTGCTTGTGTCTGCTGCTGCCTACTGATGCTTGCTGCCTCCTGCTGCTGCCTGCTGCTGCCTGCGGCGGCCTGCTGCCTCCTGCTGTGCTGCTGCTGGTGGCTGCTGCTGCTGTGGTGCTGCTGTCGTGCTGCTGCAATCAAACAGCTTCCAAAGCAAGAAACAACTGCTGCTGCTGCTGCTGCTGCTGCTGCTGCTGCTGCCCTTTTGCGTGCTCTTGCCCATAAGCCTCAAAATTGCACCCCGAAAATGCCCTAACGTAACTTCTGAAACCCATAGAACATGATGATTTTGGCTACTTTTTCCTCCTGCTGCTGCGGCTCCTGCTCCTAAACTTGTCTGAAATCCTAGAAAAAGCTAGATTTTTGGTAGGCTGCTGGCTACTGGCTGTTGGCTGCTACTGGCGCTGGCTGCTAGCTACTGGCTATGTGCACCTTTTGCGTGCTCTTGCCCACGTTCTTGACACCCATTGGTGCCATATAAATGAGAAAACTGCCAAACGTCACGTTTGAAACCCTATAGAAATATATACAAGATATATAGAAGTGCCTAACGTCTCGTCTGACACCCTAGAAAAACACAATTTTTCGATAGATTCTGTTGCTGGCGGCTGCTAGCAGTAAAACAGGTTCGAAAAAATCACCTCCCGGGGGGAAAACACCAGGGCTCTGAAGGACGAGCGAGTGCCAGAGCCACGCCAAAAAAGTGCCTAACGTGTCGTCTGAAATCCTAGAAAAATCTAGATTTTTGGTAGGCTGCTGGCTACTGGCTGCTGGCTGCTACTGGCGCTGGCTGCTAGCTAGTGGCTATGTGCACCTTTTGCGTGCTCTTGCCCACGTTCTTGACACCCATTGGTGCAAATTCCAATCCACTTTTGATTGCTGCTGCTGCTGCTGCTGCTGGTGGCTAGCTGCGACGGCTAAAAGTAAACCACTCCCATTCCTTATCCTGCTAGAAATCGCATCCAATCCAATCCATCCAACGGTGACTGCTGCTGCCAGCTCCCATGCCCTCAAAACAGCTCCACAACGAAGTCAAATGCTGTCCCGAGGCTTGACGTCCCTTCCGAAATCCTAGAGAACTAGCTCTTCAACTAGCTCTTCAACTTACAGCTTCTGAGCCGCCAAAATTGTCGGACCCGCCAGCCTGAAACACCATGGCAGTGAAGGACGAAGAAGCCACCAAATCGCACCAAAAAACTCCCTAACGTCCATTCTGAAATCCTAGCGACCTAGCTCTTCAACTAGCTCTTCAACTTACAACTTCTGAGCCGCCAAAACGCCGGACCCACCAGCCTGAAATACCAGGCAGTGAAGGACGAAGAAGCCACCAAATCGCACCAAAAAACTCCCTAACGTCCCTTCTGAAATCCTAGAGACCTAGCACTTCAACTACCTCTTCAACTTACAGCTTCTGACACGCCAAAACGCCAGACCCGCCAGCCTGAAACACCATGGCAGTGAAGGACGAAGAAGCCACCAACCATGAACCCAAAAAAAGGGCAGGCGGGAAGGGCAACCCGAGGAGCCCCACGTACTTCGAGGAGACTCCGGGAAGGACCCCCCACCGGTGAAACAAAAACCCCGGAGTCAGGGAATCGAGGTACGTGACCGGTGGGAGGGGGACCCAACAGAGTCCCCCGGCAAAGGGTCATGGTTTGTTGTTGTTGGTTGTTGTTTCTTGTTGTTTCTTGTTATTTATTGTTGTTTGGTGTTGTTTGTTATTGTTGTTTGTTGTTGTTTGGGTTTATGTTTGTCTTTGTGGTTGTTGTTGTTTCGAATTTGACATGCTCAAAGAGCCCTGGATGCTGACCACTCTGAGGTTGTCACAGTCTCATACCGCCTGGGGGCGCTTGGCTTTCTGGTGTCTGAAGACTTTGACGGTCCCGGGAATGGTGGAATGAGCCTCGGCTGCAGATGCCAGTCCGAACAGATCATTTGGATTCATTTGGGCATTTTCCCTCTTATTTCGAAGATGTTACCGAGTCCTGACAGATTGCGTCCGAATTGAATCGAATTGATATGGCCTAAGGAATGGTATTCGTGACATTGCCACCGCACTCAAATGGATTCAGAGGAGCGCAAAAATGCATTCAACAAGAAGCTACATTCAATCAAAATTTCTTGATCTTGGACAACATAACATATATTTTTCATTGATGGCAGGTTCATCCCCTCGGCTGCAGATGCCAGTCCGAACAGATCATTTGGATTCATTTGGGCATTTTCCCTCTTATTTCGACAGATTGCGTCCGAATTGAATCGAATTGATATGGCCTAAGGAATGGTATTCGTGACATTGCCACCGCACTCAAATGGATTCAGAGGAGCGCAAAAATGCATTCAACAAGAAGCTACATTCAATCAAAATTTCTTGATCTTGGACAACATAACATATATTTTTCATTGATGGCAGGTTCATCCCTCACTTCAAGGGCCAGGATCTTAGTCTCCGACATGCTTACTTAGCAAGTTTTGGATGATACTTCTGACTTCTACTCATTTCTATTTCCTACATCCAGTTTCATCAGTTTCATGTATATAGTTGACCAATGTTGACCATGTAGTTCCATCACCGTTCCATCACTGTTCCATAATGTTTCTCCAGTTCATCTTGTACACTGAGGCGATCCCAGCAAGGTGACGGTCTTTGGCCAAAGCTCTGGAGCATATGCCACTTGCACCTTGACCGTGGCGCCTGAAGCAAAAGGCCTTTTTCGTGGGGCAATCCTGCAGTCAGGCAAGGGCATTTGCGGCAAAGGCAGATGTCCTGTGCATGACCATTGTCATACAAATGTGTCAAGTGTGCGTACAGTATTTATAGATATATTATTATTGTTATTATTATTGCTATTATTATTTTTATTATATATATATAATATGATATGAATGTAAATCCAGATGAGTCACCGACAAAATTATTGTAATACTAATTCAGTCTTGCTTCGCCTTGGCCTTGCTGAGGGGTGTGCAAAACCTTCATAACCGATAGGGGACGACCCTAATTTGTGCATGGCGTAGAATGAACAAGTAATTTCGTCCTGTGCATCATGTATGCCAAATGAACTGCGACAGCGGTCCTGCTTCGCTTTGGTCTAAAGGGGGTGAGAAATTTCTGAGAGGCCCTTGCTTCGGTGGACCTCCCAATAGAGGTGCCTTGGCTTCTTTGGAATGTCCAGACAAGTCTGAGTAAAAGATCTTCAAGGATCTTCAGAGTCCTAAGGTCCTAAGTCCTAAGGTATGTTGTGAACGTATTGGTTTTTTCCAGCTAAACAGCAGCTTGACTGAGCTTGACCTCCAGGCTGGGGCCCGCGCAATATCAGCTACGGGCTTCAGATCGCAAAGGAAGTCATGGCTGCTGTCAACGTGACCAGCCTGGAAGAGTTGCGAAAAGTACCTGCTGAAAAGGCTGGAAATCGCTGAGATGGTTGATTGATTTTTAGGCTTGAGCTGTGAAAGGTATGAAAAGAGCAGTATCATTGTGAATGAAGCATTTCTACAAAGAATTTGTCTCAAACTCTATTGAAACATGATCAATGAGATATTCGTGTGACGTGCGTAGGTGCAGTGGCCTGCTTATACAATGTGTCGTGGCTGAATCAAGCTATCAGATTGCTAGCCCAAATCAATAGGTTCAGACTCAGATCATGTACAGATACATATTGATATATATGTAACTGTATGTATAAATATATTTATAGATACACGTGCATGCATATACGTATATGAATAAAAAGACATCCTCGCGGTGGGCCGTGGGAGGTCATAGTTAGATTTGCTGCTCTGTGTCAGGAATGATCCAGCTGTGGCTCCATACTTTTCAGGCTACTTTGAGGACCGTTTGCAAGACACAGCAACCAGCAATAATCAGCATTTGATGTAGGCATCAGGGAGGGTGTGAGGAGCAGGTCAGATGTTGTTTTCTTGCAGATGAAACTCACAAACTGTTCTTGCAGAGAGCTGGCAGATTGGCAGGGGGTGGAAACTGCCTTTTGCAGTGATGCGCCTATATTTTGCGGTGGCATGTAGCAAGCTGATGCAACCTGACCTTTGCGCCGATGTTTAAATATCTTTTTCATTTTCTTTCACTATTTTTCCAGGATCCTGGTTTCCTTCCAGCCAGTGCAGATCAGCTTTGGGCGGCAGGGAAGGTCAATCCTAAGAGCATCATGGTAGGCAGGGCCGGGCCTTTGCTAAACATGCTGATCAAGGAGTTTTATCAATGTTTCAAATGTGACACACACACACATAATCAAAATTATATATATATATGGTGTGTATATATATATATACACATCGTACTTCCTGGTGTACACAAATACGAACATCCAGACCTCGATTGTGGGTTCTCGTTTCTGCATGTTGACGGCATTTGACTTTTCTTGTCAGTTTACGTATATCGTGTTCATTTCGAAACTATGTTGGGATCTTCTTTGCCCTGGGGGTGCTCAGCCAAAGAGTCAGAATAAAGAACACAAAAAATCAGCCTTTCATTCGTCGAAGTTGAAAGACATGATTAATCTGTTCAGGCTATGCTTCAAAAGATGGTACGGCGGCATTCTATAGCGTCGCACCAACGATGGGATATGTTGTCGGCGACAAGAACCAGACTCTGGGCTTCAAAAACATCTCATGGTCCAATGGTCTAGCATGGTTTAGCATGGTCTAGCAGTCCATGCTTTCATTTCAAATCGTCCCAGGAGCACCTCATGAACGAACCCCTTTACCTTGGCCATCCTTGGCCAGGACAACGGCGAAAGATTACGAGGAGGCAATTCGAAAAGTTTGGGGTTCCAATGCGGATGCTGCCCCTCGGCCCATCTCCGCCCATCTCGGCAGATCATCGACACATCGACCAATCGCAGCTGAGGTTCTTCTGCAGTATCCACTTTCTCGTTTTGAAGGTAGCCCGCAAAAGGCCTTCCTACAGGTAGATGCAGATTCAAATGTCATTTGTCCAAGCTATCAGCTGCTTGCCTGCCTTGGAAATGTGAAGATCACGAAGCGGAACTTGTTTTTGTACGAGTAAAACATAGTAAAAATAAATCTAGAATTAACAGTCCTCCCAACCAAGGCTTTTGCAATATGCGCAGGTGGGGAGTGCAGAGTGCACTGGATTGCACCCAGCGAAGAACTGCATCATAATGACATCAGATGTTTTGGTGTTTCAGGGAGTGATGCGTTTGACTTGCCCAGAGAGAGAGAGGTCCAATCACTGGCAGGCGGCAGATATTCCCAGCTGGGCCTTTCAGTTTGCTCATTTCATCCCTTCTAAAAGATCTGATGGTTGGGGCTGCTCCAATGGACCTGAGCTGGATGTTGCACCACCACGTCGTGGGGCCTACACGCCACTTGGAGCATTGGAGCGGACATTGAGCTGTTGGAAACCGACTCACACGGACACGTCCAAAGGGAATGGAAGACTCTGCAAGCGCTTTTTTTTCTGCCAGTTTTGCGTCGAAGAAAAAGACAGAACAGCGAAGAAGTAAAGGGACTTGGGCCGTTGGTAAGAGCATCAAACCAGAAGCAGTGAAACTTTTCCAGGAAGCTTTTTGCTACTCACGGTGATGATGCGACTTGGCATGGAGTGAAAAGGTGAACATGTCCGACACGTCCTCGATTTTTTTGTGATTTCGTGTGATTTCGAGAGCTTTCAAGTGGCTCGAGTTTCGGAGAAGTCATGCAGGTAAAGTTTGTCTTTGGAAACGAGGCCAGGGCAGCAGAGAGCACACTGAGCACACTGAACGGATTTAGAAGGGCTCGTTCTAATTCATTTTTAATTCATTTTTCATTCATTTTTGGGGGTCGAAAACCAATGAAAGTAGGTACTTAAGTGGTTCAAGAATGCTCA